ATATAGTTCAGACTGGGCTTGATATTCACTGCGTAGTTTAGGCTGACCTCCAATTTAGGGTGATCCTCCTGCTTCAACCTCTCTAGTACTGAACTTCCAGGCATGTACCACCACACCTGGCTACTTGATTAATTACTTAACCCATTTCATAGATCTCCATTTTATAACTGAGGAAATGCATTCAGAACAAATAGCGAAAAGGTCACAAAATTGGTAAATACTGAGTTGGAATTAGAACCTAGGCCTGATTTAACTTAGGCTTCCAGACTATCCGTAACACACTTCATTACATATAGTGAGGTTGAAGGGTAGACGATACCATACAATTATATCACTGAAACTGACAGTGAATGTGTTTTACTTTCATGACCTTTTCGTAGGACAGACATATTTGACATCTTGCTAGTCTTGCTGTTTTGTCAGGAGGTTTTTATTATATAATACAGTGTGTGTTTACTAGGAGCATGAAATGACAATAAAATAAAGTGTTAAATTCTTTGTATGTGTTTAGAATAGACTTAAGCATTTTCACATCAGCTGTGTGAAGATAACATTAGAAATAAATTCTTACATGAACTACTTGAAAATACCAATAGAGCTCTACAACAAAAATAGACTTTGCTTCAGGTGTCACACCCAAGGCAGTCTTCAGACATGATAACTGCATGTTCCATGTGCACATCTCACACTGACAACACATGTACTTAGTTTTCCTTTCCTATGGAAGACCATTCTTGTCCCCTCTTTTCTCTTCCTGTTTTGTCAGGAGCTTCCTACTGTATTATTGTGCAGCATGCACTTAGCAGGGAAACAAGATCTGACTAAAATATCAAATATGGGATGAGTGTTTAGAATAGATATCAACATTTTCACATCAGTTGTTGACTTGCTTTGAAGACCTAAAAGATAACGTCAAAAATAAAAACCTGTGTGAACTAAAAGCACAAACAAGTCTATCACAGAAATAAGCTTTGCTTCAATTGTCACATCCAAGGCAGTCTTCAGTCAAGACAATTGCATGTTGCATACACAGATATCACTTACACTCATAGCACATGTTTTTGTTTCCCTGTTTTTGCTTGTAGGGTCCCTAATGAGCTCCAGTACCAAGCCTCTAAGAAAATTTCTTCATGATATTTTGCATTGTTATTTTCTTTGTAAACTGTCAAGCTCCTTATGCCCACGTTTTAAGATAAGTAAAACACAATCATTAGCCAATGCTTTGTGTTTCAAGTGACATCATAGTTGTTTTATAACTCCTTAATAACCTGTATTCCACTTATGGTTTTGTTATAGAAACCATCAGGCTTCCATTTTGTTGAGGTTTCCCTATCAGTATTTTTCCATCATGGTGAAATATTGATATCAGCAGCACTAGTTTGTTTTGCTTTGCCATATAGGAGACCAATGTTATATCTTTCTGAAATACAAAGATTGTACTGTACAATTCTTTGTTTTGTAAGTGCAACATTTCATTTGAAGTTTCTGTCTTGTTCCTGCATACAGTTCCAATGCTGATCAACTTGTGCTCTGTTGGGAAATGTAACATCAATTAGAAACCGGTAAACCAATTGTTGAATGTCATATTTTAATTTGTTTGGGAGATGGGAGCAACAAGTCTGTCCCAACATTTGCTTTATTACTATACAAATAAGGACCTGATGGCTGAGTTGCAGGATAAATGTCTAAATTGAAAGTGAAGTCTTCACATCTACAAAGGCATAAAGTTTTATGCCATGTTTTGACCCATCACTTTGCAGTAAGTCTTTTATATTGCTGTGATCACCATGAAAAATCCCTGCTAAGTACAACACACCTATGAATGCTTTCACTTTAGCAAGTGAGGTGTTATAATAAACACATTTTTGATTGCTGTTGGTACATACAGAGTGTTTTACTTGCATTTCAGCCTTTGTGTATTTTGCATCTTGTAGCATCTTGTCTGTTAAAATTTCCATTGCTGAATAGCAATGCTGATATTCTAGCCAATACCTTTCACTCCTGCCAAACCCCTCACTATATTTTTCCATTCAAGTAATAACCAGGCCTGACCCTGCTTAGCTTCCGAGATGAGACGAGATCAGGCACGTTCAGGGTAGTATGGCTGTAGACTGCTCACTAGGTATTTTCAGACCTAGTTCTGAAATGGAACATTGGATTGTTCCATTTCATTATGTGGCTAATTTGCAACCTTTCAACTAGTCAAATATATACTCATATTCCTATTTTTCTTCTTCAGCTGAGTCAAAGAGGTCTTCATTCCTTGTGTGTGTATCCATTGGTTTTTTTCTATGTTTCACTGTCACAGGAACTTTGATTCACATGGCCAATGAGAGTCATCATCATTGTCATCATCATAATCATCATTATCATCATTATCATCACCTACCAACACTATTCTTCTGTTTTGAAAGCATGTATTTTATAATGAATCATCTTCATCATCCACACATGAGTAATCTGATGATTGACTTTTGACCTCCAAAACTTGCAAATCTGATTTTTCATGTTCTGTTGTAGTGAATTAGTATATTTCTACTGGAAAAATCAAAAGAAAACATTTTTTTTTTTAGTAAATCCTGAAGTGGTTTGGATCCATTGGATTCTCTGTGATGCTTGGATAAAAATATGCAAAACCAGTTAGCTGGAACATAAAGTTTGTAAAAATTCCATTTTGCCACTTTACACATATGGGCAAACCTTGCCGGTTGTCATACCAACTGGGTAAACATACAAATTTCCTTTTGTATCCCTCAGGGAAAGGTACTGAGATGGGCAATAGCTGGCTACTCTTATGCTAAAGTACAAATTTTTAGTAGAAAAGTAAGGGATGGTCATACTGGACCAAGTCAGCTTTTGTGAGTTAAGGTTTAAGTAGTCTATTTAAAGTTTTGCTTAATAATTCTGTTTATATAAATCTGTTTATACTATTAGTCGTTGTGTCTCTCATTTTTAAGAGTTTCATTGTCTAATACTAGTCAATCGCGATTGTTAACATGCTTATAAAAGTAACTGAATTGTTTTTCTAAATTGCTCTCGTATGTATTATCTGTGGTCATTTAATTGGCATGCTTTATTACAAAAACATATCTTCATACTTGTGAAATTTACATTAATTCTTTTTCGTTTTTATCAGTAGCAGGGATCGAACTCATGACTGCCTGCTTGCAAGGCAGGCACTTACGCCGCTGAACTAAATCCCCAGCCCCTACATTAATTCTTGTACATTGTGTTAAAATGTTTTTAGTTTAGTCCTGACTAAGTCATTCAAAAAGTGTCACTGAACAGTATTTCTTGGTCTTGGCATAAGTAAATGATGTGCTTTCAAACAATAATTCACATTGTTTTGTAGAAAAGCAGACTACGTATATGCTTAATGCATCTTTTTAACAGAATTAACCTTTCATAAATAAATTAACTGTAATTAACTTGGGTCATGGCATCTCTTAGTTTAAATCTGCTATACAGAGTTGGCCTTATTAGCTTGTTCTACATCCGTTTGTAAGCTTTGTAACTATTGTTTGTCAAAGTTCTCATGTTATAGAGTGTAACTGGAATCAGCTGAATAGATGCTATTAGGTGGTGTGCAAATTTAGCAAATTTAGCAAGAAATTTATGATACCAATTCCAATCATCTGTTATATCCCCTTCAACTCAGAATGTGGTCTGACTGACTGTGTGCAGGAAATGTACCTCTGTACTAAGTGACAGTACCGCAAATGGTTATTTAGCAAAGCTATCTAAGAAGAGAATTCATTTAGAGATGTTGGAAAAGATAATTATCAAAGTTACCTCTGTCAACTGCACCAAAAATAGAAGTGCTACGAAGGTTGTGAAAAGAGGCTTTTGTATACCTAGACAAAGTAAGATAGTGATTTGTGGCAGTAGGAGGCCCCCTCATCTCCTGGGAGCTAGTTAGGAATAAAACATTTTTCCTTTATTCACCATGCTTGTGTTTTGCTGGTGTCAGGTCAGGGGTGTGGGTGGGTGGGTTGATGAGCAGTGTGGGTCTGAGCAGCCAGTGACAGATACACTTAACAAAAGCAGTTTCCAAGTCCCTCTTATATAACTGATCATTTTTCAGATACTATTCATAGACTCATATTTATAGAAAGATCAACTTGTTCTACAAATATGTGCTAGTCTAATTTTGTTTAATAAGAAATATATTGTAGAGCTGGAAATGATGGTACATGCCGGTTACCATAGTACTCTTGAGGCTGAGGCAGGAGAATTACAGCGTTGACTTCAATTTGGGCAATTAAGTGACCTAGGAGGAAAATACTTAAAAATTAAAAAAAGATCTGGGGTTGTAACTCAATTCGAAGGCCCTTGGTTCTATCACTAGTACCATCTCCCCCTCCCCCAAAAGGAGAAAGGCAAAGAAATAAAAAGTATCATAGAATTCATTCTCTATTTTGCAGTGCTGGAGATCAAACCCAGAGCCTATATCTGCTAGCCAAGCACTCTACTTTTGAGCTGTATACCCAGCACCTAAATTTATTTATCTTTTGCAAACCTAGAAGATGTTAGCCACTTTTCTGAATTGTAGACATTTAAGTCACCAAAGAAAATGTTTCAAAGCTAAAAGTTCCCTATTTTGATTTAAAGATGATTTGTCCTCTGTCTCTGAAACTCGGTGTTTCATTGTGAGGTGTTAGGAGGGTAAGAATTTAATTATGTTAGGTTTAAGAGTAGGTCTTTTGCAAAGTGGTTAACGTTTAGATGAAGTCATCAAGGTGACACCCCCTCACTGAATGCTGGTGATTTAGGAGAAGAGGGAGAAACCAGCACATACCTGCAACATACCACTTTTCTTTTGCCATGTGATACCCTGCAGAACCTTAGGACCCTGTCGGAAAGAAGTGGGTCACCAGATGTGACTCCTTACCTTTGGACCAGAGCTGTGAGCTAAAATAAAACCCATTTTTTCCCCTCACCTGTCAAGTTTGTGGTATTGTGTTATTAACAGTATAAGACTTGTTAAAACATTATCCAAGGTTTTCTTGCAGGCACTTAGGAGGAAAAGAAGCCTCACATGGCATCTGCATTTAGCAGGTACTATCTCCTTTACATACATGCCATCTATGACTCATAGCTTATGCTGGGGCTTTTTAAGTCACACTCCCTGATTTCTTTTATTTTCAGCATGTATTGTAATTTTCTGTTAAATTCTCAATATACTATGATATGTTTCTAATAGTATGAACAATTTAACCTGGTTATTGCCTAGTTGGTAGAAAATGACTGTGTTTGTGGTACTAATCCTATGCCTGATTCACCGTTTCCTTTTATATGTTACCTTTTCAATATCATTTTTTCTCATTCTGTTACTGGCAATTTAGCTTTAAAGCATCATTGTTTTTAAAACATTCAAAATAAACATTGAAGTACCTCTTCATTCTTGGAACTGGACCAAGGAAGGTATTGTGTATATAAAAAACAAAATAGATTCTCTTAGCCTGAAGAGCAAGATTGAAGTTTATAAATAAGTGAGAAATAGTATAGTGATAACATATATATGAATTTTATTTTTAACTCTTGTAAAATAGACAATATATTAACAGCGTTCTCAGATCCTTAAAGCAAATGAACTATGGATACTCAAAGAGCCCCATTGACTTTCAGGTGTTCCTTTATTTTTAAAAATTAAGGCCAAAGGTATGGTTCTGAGTGAGCCACTTGCCCCAGACTTTAGAGTGACTCTCTCTTTTTGCATTTCTCTCTTGATTTTTTTAAGTCAGGGACCTTGAACTGGCCTTGAACTCACTAATAGCCTCCATTGGCCCTCAATTCTAGATGATCTTCCTGCCTCAGCCTCAGAGTAGTGGGATCCCAGGAATAAGTCATCACATCTGACTTGACTAGCTTATACTTCCTGTTTTTAACAATTGAAATTAGAAGCATAGTTTGTTTTCCTTGTTCAGATCATTTACCTGCCAAAAGTTAGGAGTTTTCTAGTAGTCTAATTGGTGTCTCAAAAGAAATTCCAGAAGCTTTTAAATGAGTTCAAAAATGTTTATATTCTTTTCCAGGAAGCAAATCATGTTATGCTAGGCCTATGAAAGTTTTAACTTAATAGTTTATAAAGATAATGTCTTAATATTTCTATAAACTTGATGAAAAGGACTTTTATTATTTCAGAGTACAAAACTTGGTTATATATTCTATTTGACTTTTTTAGTTTCAAGTTGATTTTGACTTCCAAATATATTTTTGTTTGCTATCAGTTTATGTTGAGAAAACATAAGCTATGCTAATGTAAGTTAATTAAAATACATTTAAAGAGATAATTGAGATACAATTCTCTTCCAATAAAGAATTTTAATTCCAATACAAAAAACAGTTCTGGATTAGCTATGCCATATTTTGTCCTTTTAGTGTGATGAGATTTGGTTCCATAGTTTGGGTCATTTATTGAACATCTTTACTCCGATCATCTATCTAATTTGAGTCTGCTTTGTCATCTTTTAGGGTTGCAGGGCCTTTTGTTTTCCTCTCTATAAAGTTAATTTTTAGAAACAGGTTAATTCTTTTAATTTTATTAATGTTATTTTTTTCACTGTGTTGTTGAATGAATGAAAAGTGAAATACATATGACAGGTCTGCTGATGTGCTGTGGGAACTCTAAGATGGATGAGACGCCCTCCTTGACTTCAGTGAGTTCTCTTGTCTCTCCTGCCCAAGGGTTTCTATATTGAAACTTGTACACTTAAGGACTTCAGGGGAAGCACATGAATTCTTTCAGACTGTACATAAAAAATGTGGTGTATATATATTTGTGTATTTCTGGGAAGATAGTAAAATATGTATTTCATCAGATTTTTAAGACTCTTAATATCTGGAAAAGCTAAAGGAGACAATATACCTAACTGTAATTTAGTAGTATTCTAATAAGGATAAAACATTGTATAAGGATAAAAAGAAATATCTTTGGAAGATTAGCATAGATTAAGCATCTCTCATAGTGACTGGTATGTAGTGATATTTATGGTAGTGAAGGTCCTTATAGTAATAAGATAGTTGTTTCAAAGTAAAATAGTTTAAAGAAGTGAGTATTTCTGAGATTTAGGCATGGTATGCACCAAAAAAAGGGCTCACTTAAGGGCCAGCAACAGTTGGGAACTGTCTATCCATTCTGGTCAAGGGGCAAAAATTGTGTTCCAGAACTCAGAATTTTGGGCATGGAAAATGTCATCCCTTGAAGGGTGGAGCTTTGATTTCCTGAGACTAGACCTATATTTCCATACAGAAGTTGAATGCGAACAGCTAAAGAGCTTTTTGGTTTTAACATCTAAGTCTTGGCCTCCTTCTTAAGGATGTCCCCACCAGTGTGAAATGTATCCATTCTGTTCTCTAGTGAGGTTAAAAATCTTTGGTGAATTTTACCAATTCTCTCACCACAAATCAGACAAAAATGTTTTTGTAGTTTCACTTAATCCTGTATCTATTAGAATTTGTTTTGGCTGCAAGTCCCTAAAAACTGAAAATGTAGTAGCTCAGGAAGATAAAACTTTTTATTTTTTCTCATCTACCTCAAAATAGTTAAGGGATCCTAAGACAACTTCATGTTGCAGGTAGGGGTGGGAAGGCATGAACTCTCCTTTCATCTCATGTTCTTTCTTTGTCCAGATACCACTTTGTTTATGTTCCACAGGCCAATACTTATTTAATATAGCTGTCAAAAAACAAAAAACACTAAGGATTGCAAGTTCAAGTCCCACCCGGACAACTTAGCATTATCGTTTCTCAAACTAAAACCTAAAAGAGGATAGGAATGTAGCTCAGTAGTGGAGTGCCATGCCTGATTTCACTACCACCTGCAAAAGAAAGAAAAAAAAAAAAATCTAAAGGAGGCTTAGAATACATGTCTGGCTAAAACTGGAATATCTACCTGGCTAAAAATAAAAAGTCCTGACCCTATAAAAGAAAAATAATAGGGGACAACATTGATCTCTACTACATAAATCTTCTTCCCTTGTAAGTAGATTATGTTCCTTAAAGTTTAAATATATATTTAAGAATTGGCTTATAACCCTACAGTCTTAACATTCTGAATTCTTAGCTCTTATTTTATTTAACCTGATAGAAAATTAAGTAATTTATAATTTTTACTGATTTTTCAAAGTTTTACTTTTTTCCTAAAGATGCAGCTAAAGTTTTGTTAAAATTTCAATAATAATAAATGCAGTTGAGCATTGTAAATATAAAATATTGAGAAATATACTCCTTTTATCTTTATGGGAGATAAATACATCAAATTCACATTAAAATAATCTGTAGAAAACATTTTTCCCAGATGAAAACTTTAAAAAACATTTTATTGTTTATTTTTTAATTTTTGTTTTTGTTTTAGAGACAAAGTCTCACTTTGTAGTGTGAGCTCAGGTTGGCCTTGAACTCACTGTATAGCCCAGCCTGGCCTCAAACTTGCAGCGATCATCCTCCTCAGTGCTCAGATACAGGTGTGTGCCACCACACCTGGCTCAAAAGATTTTCGTAATAGGTAATATAAAAGCTCTTGCTTAGGATAAATTCAAATATACAATAATTAAATCAAAATTTAGAGTGATTTTTTTCTTACTGAAAATTAGTTGCTAAAGCAAGCAGCAGATATAGTAGACTACAGATTCTGAGTTCTCTTCATCATGGTAGAGTTTAAAGAAAATGTCACATTTAATGTAATTATCCTCATTGTTAAAAAATGATTTACTTTAAACTTTGTATGTACCACTATAAGTGATAATATGTTTAACCTCCACAGGCAAGAAATTTAATAGCTGTAGGACTGGGAGTTGCAGCTCTTGGATTTGCAGGTAAGATAAATAAGAAGACATATCAATATACATGCAACAGACATAGTTTCAAAAAGCCTCTATAAAGCGAATATCCTTTGTATTCTGAAGTTTTTGGTTTCCAAACATGTTATATTCTCATTATTTCTACTTTTATAATTATTGGACATTAGTCAGTGAAGCAAGATAAAGCATATCCTGAAAAATTAATGATATATGAGCCAGGACCACAAACTCCAATAATAGTTGATAATAATACTTTTAAGTTATAATATACAATAAGAAATCTTTAATGTGGTACACTTTAAGAGATAGTAGTTCCATTATGCTTCCATATTTATTTTTTCTTACAGATACATTTACATGTTTCAAGCTATCATGATAGACATAGTTATTCCCTAATTTATTGCTTCATCTTTTACCATACCAGCATAACTTTTAGGGTAAACCCAGGAAATTGTTTCAATTTGTCTTCTTTAAAAAATAGCTATAAGTATTAAAGTTGTTCATTTAATCATTGCTTATAGTTTAAAATTGTATAACTATTCCCTAATTAAATGTTAATTTGAGAATATTTTCTGTTCATACTTTTTTGTTTCTGAATTATATAGATTTGATCTCATTAATTGGGTCTTTTTAAAGGAAGCTATATTCCATTGTGGTTATTTAGAGTTGGTTTCCAATAGAAAAATAATAAATATGGTTTTATAGAGTGTAGCTTTACATTTTGTAAAGCTTTAAAGCACTTTAGTAATTAGAACTTTAAAATCAAGATTAGTGATTCAGAGCCTCTCAATCTTTTTGCAGACAGGGCTTTGTGCCAGGTATGTAACTAGTCAACTAATTCTGAAGTTTGGTGGAGAGAATGTCTCAAAAGAAATTTTGAAAAATTTGCTTATGAAAATAAAACATCATTATCATTATTAGAACATGCATAGTTATTAACAAATATAGTATGAGATTTTCATTTTAAGTTAGAAAAAGATGTTTTACTTACTCCAGATCTTTCAAACAATGACAAAAATTGATGTGTGTAATCTATGCAGACCATACTGTTACCAAATTTATGTGCTCTCTAGAGCCACGTAAAACTCAGTAGAATTTAGAAAAAGTACATTTCAATGTTTTAGGACTAGATCTTCTAGGTTTTAGTTTAAGTAAACCTTCAGATATTTCTTCTTGAAGCTTTTATTTGCTCTTTCACTGAGAGAAAAATTCAGTCATTATATCTGATCATGGTCTTGCAGAATTTTGAAGTAGTTTTTCCCCCTGCCTGGACTACTTTTATTTTGTTTTGTTTTATTTTATTTTAAAGGGAATAAAACAAAACAGTAAAATGGAACAGAACAAAAAACAGAACAATATTGGATTTCAAAAACAAGACAGAAGCAAATCCCCTAAAGTTGTTATATTGCATATTGTTATCTTCTAAATAGATTGAAGTAATTTAAAAGCTACATTTTATACCACTGTGGAATCAACTGATAAAGTCTTCTGAAAGATCTGAGTTGTTGAGCTTTCCCACTGGAATGGTTGATTTGCAAATAAACATATGATTAAAATTTGAATTTAAGTCTCTAATGGCATACATAGTTTTGTAGCTAGACTTTTGGAGAAAGACATTAGAAAAAATAGACATTCCGAATAGGGTACAAAAGGTAAATTAGTCAGATAGTACTTTATCCTTTATTCAATTGTACATTTAGTTGTTTATTCAAAATAATTTAGGACTTGTTTTACTATAGATCCTTTATTGTAGAGACTCGTGGGAATTTTGAATATTAGGATTCCTTTTACAGAGAGAGTAGCCATCTTCAGGGAAAGATTGATATTTAATATAATCTGTGCATAATTCCTTTTTACTTTAGAAGTAACTCCATTAAAAGCACCCCTATATCATTATATCATTGTAGAAAGCAATACTAATCATTTTAATATCATGACTATCTTTTGTACATAAAAGAACTTTCTGTGTACAGTTAATTTTAGACTACTAGAATGGTTTTTTGTACACTCATATTTGTAGAAATGTAAGATATATAAAAAGTAAAAATTTCTAGTTTTATGATCATGAACTTCAGCTTGATAAATTTAATGGTTATTAAAATGATATCCTATCTTCTATTAAGTGATTTAGAAATTCAGCAAACTGGCTTTTTAGTAAGTGTTAAAATATTTATTGAAATAAGATACATAAAAAGTCATTAAATGATATGGTAAGCACCTCAACAATATATTTGTATTTATTTCTTTTACTCTTTAGGTCGTTATGCATTTCAGATCTGGAAACCTCTAGAACAAATAATCACAGAAACTGCAAGGAAGATTTCATCTCCTGTAAGTTAAATAGGTCTTTAGTTAGAGCATTTATGAGTTTTGCTTGTATATCAGATTTGTAAATAATTTTCCAGCCTCCGTAGACATTTATTTCATTATATTATTTGTGATTTGCCTATTTTATTAGTTTAAGCTTGTTGGCCACATTTTTATACAGAAACCTTATTTTTATTAGTGAAAACTTATTATATTTTAATTAGTAATGTGTCAACTTTTGAATAATTTATTTTCTCTTTCTAACTATTGTTCATTTTTTCAGTAAACATTTAGTGAATGTGTACAATAGACCATTCCCATAGTCAGGAGCTGTGAATATTTGATGAACAAAACAGAAATTGTCCTTGCACCTATGAAACTTAACAAGGAGATTTTTCCTTTAGAATTTAAAACTAGTTCCCTTGAAATCCTGTAAGGCTGTAATGTACATTTATCTACCAGCATCATAGATATTTTGGTGTGCTGAATACAAATAAAGAATCAGTGATAGTAGATAATCCAAAAAATTAAAATGTGAATTCTGGGTTGTGATTACTGAAGACAACACAAGAAAACACAGGAGTACACATAACACAGTGACTTCTGGGATATAGAGGCAGATTTGGAGAGGTCAGGTTGGCTTGCAGCAGCTGAGAATGAATAGCTTGTTTAGCAAAGTCAATCTGGGCTTGCAGGGCTTAATTAGCCAAGAACAATGACAGTCTTTCCAAAGGAAGACATACTGACAAATTATTAATGCTGGTTCAAAAGAACTGCAGGAATTTTTTCACACTAGGAAGTATATTTCTGTAACAAAGAGTGTATTTTTTTTTCTGTTTTCCTGTTTATATTTATTTGACTAAAGTATTGTTACGTGTTCAGCATGTACACAGTAAATATTCATTGAGCAACTACCACATGCCAGGCATTGTAGGCAGTGGGAGTCATGGACCAGACAAAAACATTTTCCTCTAGAACCTTATATTTTACGTTTTAGTAGAGATTTAAACAAATGAAGTAAAAATATAAGTTTAATGAAGTTAAGAAAACCTCAACAGGGTGACTAAAGAATAACAACAGAGAGGAATCTTTATAATAGACAATCCAAATTAGACCTCTTACTTTTCTCATTGCTTAGACAAAATGCCCAACACCCAAAGTTAAAGGAGAAACGATTTACTTAGCTCACAGTTTGTAGAAGTATTAATTCATGGTTGGTTGTCTCCAAGGCAGAGTGGCATGGCAGAGGGGAATCACAGAGGAGAAGCAGTTCATGGCAGGCAGAATGCAGCAAGCAAGAGCAGCAGCCATCTTTCTGTCACTTACATTCTATCCAGGCCACATACCCTTAGGGCAGGTGTTATGTACACCCAGGGTGGGCCTTGTCATTATCCACACCCAGAACTGTGCCACGCCAACCAATGGACTAATTTAAGAATCACACACCCTTAATCCCGCAGCATACTCTAGATCCAGCCACCTCTGAAAAGCCCAACCTATGACCACATGAGGCTTTGGGGAAGCGTCTAAACATGAGACCTAACAGTCTCTCTCAGAAGGAAGCGGCCTGTGCTAGCATCTGAAGAAAGAGCTTTCTATTGTAAGAACGTGGCAGAGGTCCAAGGTGGTAGTGAATTTAGCAAGGGTAACAGTGAGTCTATCTTGCAAATAATTACAATATAGTCCCACATCTGTTAGGACATTGATGGTGAACCTTTGAGAGCTTTCACGCATACAAACTCGCTGTAGCTTGTGTACCATAGGTTTGCTGCCACCGACTTAGAGACTACTAGAATGGAGAAGAAATGTCTTACTATTTTACTCAGTGTATGATGACAAGAAAGTCTTTGGAAGATTTTTGAGCAGTGATGGCGTATGATTTGCATTTTAAGTTGTCTGCCCACTGCAGAGAGTGTAGGTAGGTGAGAGTGAACTAGTGTAAAAGTTGTAAAGCCAGCTAAGAGATAATCGTAACATGATGGTGTGTTGAAACACAGTAATAGTAATGGAAATGGTGACATAATTGTTTAATGTTATTCATGCTTTCCTACTTTTGTCAATGGAGAGAATCTTGGAAATTCTTTCTCTTCTGTTATGATAGTTTTTAGTACATGTATGAATACCATAAATACAAAACGCTATATTATTTAACATAGGAAAGGAGGAAAGAGCAAGAAAATGACCTAACCTTTGCAGAGGCTTATAGGTAAGACAGGCTGTAATAGATGTACTGAGCATGGGACGTGCATTTTAAAGTAGAAATTAAGAGGTTGCCACTCGTTTCCTCTTTTTTGTGTCAAAGAAACATGGGTTTTGATAAATCTGATTCCACTTTTCACAAGGTACTATTTTAGCAGTTTACAGTGAAACTTCTTAGATTATCTTAATCATTATCATCATCATAATTATACCCTCCGTGAAGACATATGTTTTAAAAGCAATTCCTTAAATATTAATCATTCTAGAGAAACGAGAAAATATGTGCATACTTTGTCTTTACACTGATGATTCCCAAATATCAAACTTCATAAATGTAGCATTTATACTTTTTGATTTTGTAAATATTAATTTTTGAACCAAATGGGATTACTAAAAAAAAAACTAGATCTGTAACTATGTCCCAGGGGATTCTGTTTCTTCATTTGTTATTCTTCGTACTTTGTTTGCATTCTCTTAAGTTTTAGCGTCTTCTCCTTGAATCGCATCTTTCTTTCTCATACTTTTTCTCCTCATTTTGCTAGAATATTGCCTAATTTGTTTATATGATATACATAGATTGAAATGTTTAAGTTCTCTGTTAAGTAGTTTGTTGCTTTTTTTTCACTGTTAATTGTCATTCGTGGCTCTAGAATCTAGTGGAGCTGGCATGAGAGAAGTACAGAAATTTCTGCTGAGACCATAGCTCAGTACCTCTGCTCTTTTGTTCCCTGCATATGCATAGCCAGATTTTACACTGGTGATCTTCTTAGTCCATTGTAGACAACCTGTTGTATTGGTTTTGGTTTTTTGTTCATTTTGAGGCTTTAGTTTTTTGATGATGCTTTTTCTTTTAGCTTAAAAAGCTTTTAGTGGTTTTTCTTACTCTTTTTTTCAGGAGGGAGGGTACCAGGAATTGAACTCAGGACCTTGTACTTACCAGGCAGGCTGAGCTACGTCCCTGGCCCCTTAGAGTTTTTTCTTTATCATTGATGTTTTGAAATTTCATAAAAATTCATATAGTGAACTCTAACTTATTTGAAAATTCTCTTTGAATATCTCTAAAGACACTATTTAGAGTTTTGTCAAATTGCCATGTTTTATAATTTATCCCCTTTTTTTCCAAACCAATTGCCATTTGTTTATTTTAGTTCTTTTTATTTTTTCCCTCCATTGTATTGGATTTGCTCAAAATGTCTGATGATCATCCTTAGTTGTTGGTTCGTATTTATGAGGACTAAAGTGAGTCATGCTCTGGCTTTCGTAAGCATTTTGAAAGACTTACTTTAATGGTTTGATTGAATGAGAGGATTGGCTATAGGCTTTGAGTTCACTGGTAGGTTTTTCAGTGAGATGTGTCTTCTAGGGCAAGGAGACCAGAGATAGGCTTGGGACTTAGAGTATAGGAAGAGGTAAGCCCTATATATGTATTTTTACTTGATATATGACCACCTCCCTCCTGGGTTCTGAAATGGCATCTTGTGATCACTCCTATTTGATTCTTCTGGGATCTGCTACCCAGAGTGGGACTTACCTCAGGCATAAGGTAGGTGCCAGGCATCATATGCTCTTCATTGGTATAGTAGTGGTAACTGTTTCTGCTGTTCTGGCTAATTAAGTTACCGTGGGGTTTTTTACTTTTTTTCCTTTTTAAAATCTGAATCTATTGTTCTTGGTTTCCTGAGAATTTCTTCTGGTCCCAGGGGATGCTCTGATTTTTCCATAGTGTGTGCAGTCATATCTGTTTTTTCAATCTTTCAGGATTTATTTAGACTTTCTGGTTTGCTGCTTGTTCCATTTCTTGTTTTCTAGGCCCATTATGAGTTTTTCCTATAGAAAATATTTTTTCATTTCGAAGATACTTTGTAAAGCAAATGACTATATAATTCAGTTTTGTCTTTTGAACTAAGGCAACTTTTGCTTGTTTTTAAATGTTTAATGTACATATTGACTTAGGTGGTGTCTATCTACCCTTAATGTTGAGAAGAGGGTATTTTATCTACTTCAAAAAAGTGTTTGTTTGTTTGTTTTGAGATAGAATTTTGTATGTAGTTCAGGCTGGCCTTGAACTATGTAATGCAACTGTTCATTTGTGAATTTGTTCTTTTATTTGACTACACTTTTTAAAGATTGAACTTTTGTTATGGTCAGGTGAAAATCATGGGAAGATATAGTAATTAAAATCATCCTGTGACTATAAATCAAGTAAATTTTGTAAATAGCATTTTATAGTTCATTGTATTTTTTTTTTTTTTTTTTGTCTTTTTCCTTTTTATCGGTACCGGGGATCAAACTCACGACTGCCTGCTTGCAAGGCAGGTGCTTATGCGCTGAGCTAAATCCTCAGCCCCCTAGTTCATGGTAATGTACCTCTTACAGTAAGAATATAACACTATATAATTCTTATCTGATTATCTCAGGTGACTTTTTTGTTTTTACTTCCTTTTTTGTTTTTTTGAGACAGGGTCTTTCTGCACTTGAGCTCAGTATGTAGTCCAGGCTGGCCTCAAACTCACTGAAATACACCTGCCTAAGCCTCCTGAGTGCTAGGAGTATAGGCTTGTACCATCATGCCTTGCTATCTTGGATGACATTTGTGTTTCAAGCAAGTGACTTAGCTAATGAAGATTAGCTTAACTTGGATTTTTTTCATATCTCCTTGGGCAACATATGGTACTGCAGTGATTAATGCTAATTTTAGAAATGAATTATTTTGATTTTTGTAGTTTTTGTATGCTTTATGAATGGAATAATACAGTAATTTGTAAGGTCCTGTGTATATTTCCACAGAGAGCAACATAGAACAGGTAGAATTTCACTGTTTCTGT